CCGTAAAATTCAGATGTGTGTTTTTTTTGAACAGCTGATTGCTGCCATTCATGGAGAGTTGCCAGACAACTGCTAGAGTTGCCGAGTACATTGTTTTTGGACTCGATCGATATGTGATGTTTTTTGCTTTGAAATTATAAAAGTACAGCTTTGAAAAATCAATTATTTTATACCATAAAAGAACAAAAAAACCAATTGTTTTGATATGATAAAATCAATAAAACTGCAATATGTACTTTTTTCGAATTGTATCTTGAAAGGTGTCAAGCCTTAGTTCGAATTTGGTTTGTGACAATGCTAAGAAAAATGAAATCGCTCGGAATTCTGTGGCACGGCGGAAATCCTCTGCGCGGTTTCCCATTTCACTAGTGATTTCTGTGGCACCCCTGATATTTCCAGCAAAACACACTCACAAGAAAAAAATAATAAAAAACAAAACAAGTCAAATTTTAAAATAAATAAGATTTTTGCTAATAAAATTAACATTTTAATCGTGTCAGTATTCCAGGACACAGAATCTAAAAACATACACACAAATTTAATATATAAGCTCCTACACACACAAAAATAAGTTTTAAAACGACTAATATTAAGTACACAAAGAGATCACGACCAACATCCATTTTCAGACAAAAATACACTTAAACAAGTAACATAACCAAGAAGAGACAAAAATAATTTTTAATACTACACCAACATTAAAGAAAATCTAGACTTGGAATATATTTTAAGATAAATTATCAAATCAAATTCAAACAAAAGAGAAATCAAATTTAAACTAACGAACGACTAGATTAGATGTTAAGAAATATATCAGGTCGCCCAAATACTAGAAGTAGGACAAGAAACCATACACAAAATACGACTGTACCGACCTCCCAACCTCAAACCAACCAGAACGACAATCGAAGTCCAACCGAAATAGACTAAAGTTTTATTCAAGAATTAGAACTAATCTCGGAAACAATCTTCTACCACGGAATCCGAGACTGATAACACTGGTCAACACGATTTTTCCTCAAGGAACAAAACCAACTTTTTATTAAAGATTTGGGGCTAAGAAATGGTTTGATGATATTTTTTTTTTTTCTATGGCAGAACTTTTTTTTGAAGAATTTTTGAAGTCTGGTATTTTTTTTTAAGCTTTTTTCAGAGGTTGCGCTTGTTTTTTTCACATAATCCTAGTATCTTACGTCTGGTTGTAAAGAACTTTGCTATTTTGAAAAGATAATTGAAACAGCTAGAAGTTGAGCCTAAACACTTTGTGATTTCAGCTTACCGTTTGGGATAAAGCTTGAAATGCAAAATGATGATTTTGTGCGGATTTTTACGAAATTTTGACTTTAAAAACTCAGGAAAGCAAAAAAATTATATCCTGTGCCTCTATTTTTTTGTGTATAGGTGCATTATTGGCTCGTTCAAGGTATCGCCATTAAAATTATGGAGAGACTTTGGAGCTAAAATCGTTAACCAAGCCTAAAGATGAACAAAAAATACCTTTTGGAATGTTGCGGGCCCAACTGCCAATTGGGAACAAAGCAAACGAAAAAGGGTTGTACATTTGGTACCTGATCGCGATCCCAATTCCCAATGGGCAGTTGAGCTCGCAACCTTCCAAAAGGTATTTTTTGTTCATTTTTTCCATATTTTAGGTTTAGTTAACGAATTTTAGCTCCAAAGTCTCTCCATAGATTTTAATGAGCGATACCTTGAACGACGCCAAATTAATGCACCTATACACGAAAAAATAGAGGACACAGGATATAATTTTTTTCGACTTTTCCTGAGTTTTTAAAGTCAAAATTTCGTAAAAAATACCGCACAAAAATCATCATTTTTGCATTTCAATGCTTTATATTTCCCAGACGGTAAGCTGTAATCACAAAGTGTTTGGGCTTAACTTCTAGCTGTTTCAATTATCTTTTCAAAATTGCAAAGTTCTTTACAACCAGACGTAAGATACTAGGATTATGTGAAAAAAACAAGCGCTACCTCTGAAAAAAGCTTTAAAAAAAATACCAGACTTCAAAAATTCTTCAAAAAAAAGTTCTGCCATAGAAAAAAACCATAATTCTTTAAAAAATGTTAAAGCCCCATATCTATCAGAAAAAGTCGGTTTGGATCCTTGAGGAAAAAAAAAGTTCGGTTTTGTCGAGTAGTGTAATCAGCCTGCGGTAGCTGCCAACCCAGACGAGATTTTTCAATCCATGAGGATTCCGGATGCTATCCGACAATAACCAACGTATGATGGTAATAAGAGTGATCTAAGTGAATTTATCACTAATGTTGAGGAAATATTAAAAATTACTAAAGGAACCGAAAAAACACCTTACGGAAAACTACTACTAAGGGCAATCAGAAACAAATTAAAAGGAAAGGCAAACGAAGCTATCATTGCATCAGGAGCTACTCTCAATCGGGATGACATAAAATCTGCATTAATGTTACATTGTTATGACAAACGCGCCAAGTGCATTCTAATGCACTCTAATCTCAGTCAAGTTGGATTGCCGATGAAAAGGTTTTATGAAAAGATTTGGGAAATCAAAATAGCATTGTTTAAACTGACCGAGACCAACGAACTATAACCGATTCTAGTAAAAACAAAACAAAAAATTATTTTCAACCACATGTCTAAATATTTTCCTAACTGGTCTGAAAGGTCCACTAGGGTCCACAGTTAGGGCTATGCAACCTGAAAAAATAACAGAGGCATACGAGAAGGCCCTAAAGGAAAGGGAGATTTTTTTTTCAGGAGAATAGACAAAATCAAGATTGGGGACGGAATAAACATAACGAACGATCATCATATCGAACAGTACCATACCACAATACCATTAATAGAAAATAAACAAGTGACAATGATAGAATAAATAATAGCAACAATTTTCGCTCAAAAATCAATAGGAACGTTCCGGCAATTATGCGAAAAGAATATAATACTAACTATCAGCGCTACAAAGGTAGCGACAGCAATAACAGGGATTTGAGGAACGACAGGACATTACATAACGTTGACGAGGATGACTCGGAAGAAGTTATGGCAGAGCTACATAATATTGATGAGGACACAAATTTTTATAAAAAAGCCTCGAAGAACACGGGCTGCATAAATAATATAACTCACGACTCAACTATTCCTTATATACTCTTGAATCTTACCAAATCACACCCATAAAAAATTCCTCATAGACATTGGAGCCGAATTGTCATTTATTAGACCAAATCTAGTGAACCAACAATTCCACATAAATCTTGACAGGCCAACTTCCATTAAAACCGTACTTAATAGACATAGCATTTTTACAAAAACAAATATCAGCCTGTTTAATGAATTCAATTTTTCGGAGCAGACCGGCCTATAACACTACTCGACAAAATCGAACTTTTTTTTTCCTCAAGGATCCAAACCGACTTTTTCTGATAGATATGGGGATTTAAAATTTTTTAAAGAATTATGGTTTTTTTTCTATGGCAGAACTTTTTTTTGAAGAATTTTTGAAGTCTGGTATTTTTTTTTCAGCTTTTTCAAGAGGTAGCGATAGTTTTTTTCACATAACTTTAGTATCTTACGTCTGGTTGTAAAGAACTTTGCTATTTTGAAAAGATAATTAAAACAGCTAGAAGTTAAGCCCAAACACTTTGTGATTACAGCTTACCGTCTGGGAAATATAAAGCATTGAAATGCAAAAATTATGATTTTTGTGCGGTATTTCTTACGAAATTTTGACTTTGAAAACTCAGGAAAAGTCGAAAAAAAATTATATCTTGTGTCCTCTATTTTTTTGTGTATAGGTGCGTTAATTTGGCGTCCTTTAAGGTATCGCTCATTAAAATCTATGGAGAGACTTTGGAGCTAAAATTCGGAGCAACTGCCAATTGGGAACAAAGCAAACGAACAAGGGTTGTACATTTGGTACCTGATCGCGTTCCTTTGTTCCCAATTGGCAGTTGGGCCCGCCGCCTTCAAAAAGGTATTTTTTGTTCATTTTTTCCATATTTTAGGTTTGGTTAACGAATTTTAGCTCCAAAGTCTCTCCATAGATTTTAATGAGCGATACCTTAAACGACGCCAAATTAACGCACCTATACACAAAAAAATAGAGGACACAGATATAATTTTTTTTCGACTTTTCCTAGTTTTTAAAGTCAAAATTTCGTAAGAATACCGCACAAAAATCATAATTTTTGCATTTCAATGCTTTATATTTCCCAGACGGTAAGCTGTAATCACAAAGTGTTTGGGCTTAACTTCTAGCTGTTTTAATTATCTTTTCAAATAGCAAAGTTCTTTACAACCAGACGTAAGATACTAAAGTTATGTGAAAAAAACTATCGCTACCTCTGAAAAAAACTAAAAAAAAAATACCAGATTTAAAAAATTCTGCAAAAAAAGTTCTGCCATAGAAAAAAAAAAATATCATCAAACCATTTCTAAGCCCCAAATCTTTAATAAAAAGTTGGTTTTGTTCCTTGAGGAAAAATCGTGTTGAGTAGTGTAATTAGAATACATAGCATTAAGTAAATGCCACTGAGCATAATTGTTTGTTGTACTATGTTTTTTTATTGTCTATCGCTCTGTTAGCTCTCTCGTGCTAAAGCTTGTGCTCTCGCTGAGCTTTTGGCTGCTGCTGCAGTTTCTGAGCGCTGATGGAAGTAGTGCAGATTCGACCACAAACAGAATTAACAACATATATAGAAAGCCAATTTCTCGTCAAGGTGATATCCTCCTCTAAACAGAAGAAAATTTTAACTTCTGTTATTTAAATTACACCAACTATTTGATGGTCTAATTGGAATGGACATACTAAACGAATTAAAAGCAATTGTAGATCTTCAAAAAAAGTTTTAAAAACACCAGTATTTGAAACCAAGTTGCATAGATAAAATAACAGAACGTCAGATTTCACCTTATTAATGAAACTTCAAAGTCAAGAGTGAAACCAGTTGACCTAGAGAAAGGAATCTTTTTATTGGAACCGATACACATAACAAAAGACTTTTTGATTTCTGGCGGGTTATACTCCACCAAAGATAATTTTAGCTATATGGAGGTGGCTAATTATTCGCCGCAAAAACAAAAACTTTTTTTAGAAACAGACCTGAAAGTATCGAAATGGGATCAAGATGACATCATTACAGTAAACGTAGACCAGATAAGAGCCTAACTAAAAGGCAGATCAAATTACGAATGGACCATTTAAATGTTGAGGAGAAATTAGCACTAGAAGAACTTCATCGGGAATTCCCGAATATGTAGAAGGTGAAAAACTATCTTTTACCAACTCGGTGAAACATAGAATAAGAACATTAGATAACATTTCATTATACACAAGACCCTTTAGATACAGTCCGATTGAAACTAAAGAAATTCACCAACAGATCGTGAAACTTCTTGATCAAAACATAATTAAACATAGCCATTCTCCATGGAGTGCACCATTGTTTCTAGTTTCAAAGAAACTAGATGCTTCAAATAAAAAAAATGGAAATTGGTAGTGGACTACAGAAAAACTAAATGAAAAGACCATTAAGGATAAATATTCAATGCCAAACACGAATGACATTTTAGATAAGATAGGCAGAGCAAAATATTATTCAACCCTAGACTTGCCCAGCGGATACCATCAAATCGAAATGGACCCGAACGATACGGAAAAAACCACCTTTTCCTACAGTAATGGACATTTTGAATTTATAAGAATGCCATTTGGGTCAACAAATGCTCCGGCCACATTTCAGATGGTAATGGACAACGTGTTTGCAGAGTTTAATGGTAAATGCTGTTTGATTTATCTGGATGACATCATTCTATTTTCACCTTCTTTACAAGAACATATCACAGACCTCAGAAGGGTATTTACTAAACACACAAAGGCAAAGTTAAAATTACAATCGCAGAAATCAGAATTTTTAAGAAAATAGATCGAATGCTTATCTTGTTACAGAAGATGGGATTAAGCCCAACCCTAACAAACTAAGGGCGATCAAATCTTTTCCTATGCCAAAAACAAAGAAGGAGATCAAGTCTTTTTTAGGACTAGTGAGTTATTATAGGAAATTTATTAGAGATTTTGCTAAAGTTACTAAACCTATTATCCAACAGTTGAAAGGCAAGAAATCCCCAGTAAATATCGGCGAATACTATAAAAAGGCCTTTGGAAATATTAAAACATTGTTATGTAACGATCCATTGCTACAGTACCCAGACAATTCAAAAACCTTTATACTAACCAATAGCCTTTTCACACTGGGGACCATCCACCATCCACCATCCATTTCTGGGATGGTCCGTAAGGTTTTGCCGTTCCGAAAATTTCCCAGTTATTCCACCATCCATCTGGGATGTTCCTAATTCTCACGTTTCAGTGCGGTATTTTTTCGATAATTGTCAAATGCAACCATATTTCACAACAAAAAATCGGAGATCACTACGAAAATGTAAACAATGACAGACAGGAAAATATAAAAATAAAACAAAATAACCCCGTCCGATCTACAAAGCACGCAAAAAATAAAAAAATATCAAATATCAGCTGCAGGTGATTTTATTTCGATGTGACATCCATCTAACATAAAAATTAAGTGATAAAATTAATTTACATATATGTATATACATATATTATGGATGATTTTATTGCATTATTACCAATTGCACCAGGCACTGAGGAAACCCAATTTCTTCAAATGCTTGGACACACTCGTCAATTTTCTCTGAAGTGAGATAGTTTTTGGACATGTATTCCTCTGAGAATTCGTTGATGAATGCTCTGCAAAACTCATGCAGGATATTGCAGACGCTGTTGGCTGACACTCCGAAAAACACTCTTCTCAGAAGAAGATCCCAAAGTATATAAAGATATGGCGATACGCTTCTCCAGAGGAATTGCAGCTCGGCAGTTTGTGTCCTTCTTCCGTAGCACTTCCAAGCGAGTAACCAACAGAGAAAAGCAGGATCTCTCCATCCTAAAACTTTCCTTAAAAAACGCCTCGTTGTTTTTGGGTACATCCTTCTCCCAAAATGTACCGAACCGCTTCTGAAAAACATAACATATATATTTGTACTTTAAACATTGGTTGCATTTATTAGAAGCACTCACAAATGACCACAACCTTCCGGGCTTCAGTGTTTTCAAAACAGATATCCATTCTATTATCTCCTCCTCGTCAAAGTTATCCTCATCATCATCGTCCATGTCCAACAACATGATTAGCTTGTGCAAGAATATGTTTTGCTGCTGAATCACATTCACGACCATTGAAATGTTATTTATATTCATTTTAATTAAAGTAAACAAATTTTCACCTCACGCAATTGTGAGCAACAGCTGTTTCTCATGGATGGTGGATGGTGTCAATGTGAATCGGTGTTTCACATCTTTCAAAAATTCCCACCGTTCCCCCAGGATGGACTCAGTGTGCAGAGAGTATAAGACAAACTTGTACCAGACAAAAAATACAAAAAAAAATGTATCTTATTTGTATCTTACAATTTTGCTCATTTCCCAATGCAACCAGCTGAAAAGTCAGGTCCCAATACCTGACTTAACTTACATGAAGCATATTTCGAGAAATGGGGAAAAAAGGATACGGAAACCCAAATTTCATCGAAGGAATCCTTGAAAATGGCAATGCAGAAATAGGAAACAGAGTGGCAGGAATTGGTCGCAGAGAAATGGAAGCTACAGATTCAGCTAGATCGTGGTTCCCTCTAAAGGATGTTGAAGGTAGCGTTTCAGAGTTTTCAGGTTCAATTAGCTTGGATGTTAGTCAGTGGATAATTGAGCTTGAATAATGTGAACTAACGGTAGGGTGCAGACTTTCATTTACGCTAAGAAATTGTTAGGTGGAGCAGCAAAGTTGTTCATACGCAGTCAGCGGGATATTCGGGACTGGAGTAGATTGAAGGAAGCGCTGATCGAAGAGTTCGGGATTAAAGTAACATCTACAGAGCTTCCTCGGCGATTGGTTAAGCGACAACAAAAGAAAAACGAAACGTTGTAGGAATACTTGTATGCTCTGATAGAGATCGCGAAACCGATTGATTTAGAAGACGAAAGTTTGATTGAGTACTTTGTAAATGGTATTCCGGATAGTCGAACCAATAAGATATTGCTGTATCAGGCCAGAACCATGAAACAGGTGAAGAATCAGATTGAAGTTTATCAGAAGATGCGTTGTTCATTGAAGTCGTCAAACAAAGTTAGACAAAAAGATAGTGCGAGATCATTTTCCAATGGTGCAAATGGATTGTGTTATCGAGAAGTTAGAGGGAGCAAGAGTGTTGAGCTACTGAGCTTCTTCAGTAGCGTTGTCTTGCGAGATTTAAGAGAGAAGACGATGGTTCAGTTAATATATTCACAGTTTATTGTACTTAAGTTAATCTATATGTATTATCCAAAAATACGAAAGGGTTGCAGATTTGATAACGAGAGTTAACGATGGGTCGATTGAAGACGCGGGGGCCGGTTCAAGACTGTTGAAATATATAATATAATATAATTATGTTAGGTTTAATCTAGAACTATGTGGCAGGTAGGTCACTGTGACAGACAGCAAAACGTTTAACTACGGTGAAGCTAACTGTAAGTAAACTGCAACTGTTGAGCCAGACAAGAAGTGACGAAATGCACCTGCGATCCAGAATCGAGCAGGGAACGGCAAGGAATCAATATACCAGAGCGACTCCTTACGCTGATTACGGCAGTGGGCAAAATCACGGCATCCTGTTGATGACTCTGTGCCAAAAGCGTCCTGGCTGACGATGTTACGGCATGTTCACCGACAGAGGGTATCGCGGGAATTCGTGGAGTCGATGTTGATTTGAAGAGTTGAGGCAGAATGGATTAAGAAGTGCAGGACGGAGATTCGAAATGAAGTAGTGTGTGATGCTTATCACCACATACTCGGCAGGATGGTGAACGACATTCACCTTGCTGATGGCCTGATCGGAGCAGTTGGTGAATAGCGATAGCTTCTTAGCTGAAGAAAGGTTGCTGAACTGAGAACATCGATATATCGAATGTCCGGTATCGCCGCAGAGCGCGCAGGCAATCGGCTTGAAGGTAGTTGCAACTAGGCAGTGTTTCCGATTGCTATTAGTGTACATGTCCTTAGCGTGCTCCTGAGTCTACAACCTCTGGCATCTCTGCTCCAGAAAAGCGGTAAATTGCTGGCTTGTGGGTATGCTATCCATTGACGAGCATTCCTCCCACTTGGCTTGTGTGGCGCTGTCCACCTTCTGTAGCAGGCTATGTATCAGAATGCAGTCAGCAATCTCCTCCTTTGTCCCCACACTCTGCAAGGCCCGCAGATTGGCATTTACAGTATCTGACAATGACTGGAGCTGGGACACAGACGAGGTCTCAATACGCTGCACACCCAAAATGTCGGTGACATGTGCCTGAAATATTAAACCCTTGTTATTGAATCGTTGGTTAAGAAGGTCTAGGGCGATGGGATAGCTGGCGTGGATGAATTCTAGCGCAGAGATTGTGTCTAGAGCAGGTCCTTTCTGGCAGGATCGTAGGTGCTGCAGCTTCTCAGAATCGTTGTCAATTATGGAGGCAAACATGCCCCAAAACGCAGCTTATTGCGCGTAGCCCCCACTGGCCTCTCCAACATGGTCCGTCCGCATTGTTGAGCATGGGAGCATTGTGGGCTGCCGGTTGTTCAACTCCTCCTAACTGAGTTCGCCAATCCTCTCCTTGTCGACGGCAGTTTCCGTTTCAGTTTTCTCCGTACTGCCCCTTCATGGATTGCACCTTGCGCTTGTTAAATGCAACGTCCGACACGTTGGTCAATGGTGCGGGGAGGAAGAGTGAGGGGGTGCTTTTAGAAGCCATTGCGTTTTAGAGTCACTAGCATACAGGGGTTAACAGCCGGTGAATAACCTCGAGCAGTTTGAACTGAGCTGCACAACCGATCGCGGCATTTGAACGCGGGATTACAGCTTTACAGATCAGCAGCGAAAGTTCACAGTTTTAACGAACTGAGTAGCTGCAGCAGACAACAACAATTTCATGCACACTTAGAGCGCCGAAAACTGAAACGAAACAACAGCAAGCAAAACCGCAAAGCAAATGACGCGAGAACCGTTTCTGTTGCTTGTGTACAAACGACGAACCGAAAAACCGTGGTTCAAAGCGAATTAAACCAACCGACAAGTGTTATGGTTTTGTTTTGTTCGTGATATAATCTATAAATGTATATATGTGGGTTGGTGTACAGCTGTGTACATAAACCTGCACCAACACTGCAGCAACAACCACGATACCCATAATGACGAGAAGTTACGATGATCCCAGCCCAGCCCTAGACAACGACTAGCGACGATGACCCCATCACAATGGAACGACGAGCAGAAGAGTTAAGCAACGACGAAAAAGAAGAACAACGACGTGGAGAGATCTAAAAAACAACGACGAAAAAGACGAAGTCTTCGACTAACGACGTAAAATTAAAACTTATGTACTTAAAACTTATGAAACTTAATCAATAAACTAGAAACTTAAATATAAAACCCCACATTTTGAGCGTTCGTCCGCGATTTGAGCAAAAGTGGACACGAAAGAAGCTGAAGTGAAAAGTACATTTTTTTTTAAACACAATGCCGTATTTAAACGATTTAATTAGTGAAAATCTACGCTCGAGCAAGAAAGAGTGCACAGCAGCATTGCATAAATTTGTGTTCTAGGCTGAGGGAGACAGGAACAACCGAAAGCGACTACGCGAATTTTCTGGCTTCCTCTACGACGAAAATGATGAGAAGTACCATGCTAAGAAGGAATACGCAATAAATAACTTAACACAGAGCGATAAACTACGAAAGGACAGTACAAAGCACAACTGCAAGACGAAATTCTACAAGAAACATCGAAATAATGGAGAGAGACACGATGATGGCACCTCGGTTCGCGATCAGCTTTTGTTCGCCAAAAAGGCACTAAAAAGAATCGCAACACTATTCGTATCGAGTGAAAGAGGATTACCTTCATTGAATTCGCTCAAGCAGGCATTACTATGTGAATTTAAATCGAGTGTAACCAGTAAGCAAGTCCATGAGAAACTCGCGCAAACAAAATGAGACAACAATGAGTGCGTGTTTGCATATTTTGACCGAATGAAAGACATTGCATCGCACGGAAATATTGCTGATGACACATTTATCCAATATTTAATAGACGGCATAGATGGTAAAAGTGTGAATAAGACAATTTTGTACGGCACAAAAGATATAAATCAATTTAAAGAAA